ATCACATCCTTCAGCCCATCAAAAGCAGGTGGGTAAGTATGAAATGTAAGAGTTAATGCAGTCCTCTAGATTAAGTAACCAATAAGTACTTACCAGGATGAATCCTAACTACACTTTGGGATCCTGATTACAGGTCTCTACCATCATCACCAAGGAGAGATTAATTACTTATTAACTCAGGCACTAGGATACAGACTTCCTATTGCTTTTGTGGATATATAGTACAGATATTTGAAAAGAAAATTATACACTGTTATTTTTCCTCCTGAAGTATCTACCAGGCATACTACAGTATTTACGGATCCAGTTTCACAATCTCTTTAGGGCAGTAGATGTAGGGACTGCTGCCAAAACGGGTCATCCTATCTGCTCTCATCTTTTTACCCACCTTACTAAACTGGTAAAGTGAGGATAACTAGGCATGTATTCTAAACATTGCTAGGACTCTCCCTAAAGACTAAACAATTATTTTATTTTATATGATCCACATACTGTAGTGTGGTCTATAACCTAGATTCAAATGTGAGTGAAGAAGACAGTCAACTATATCCTGGACAGTGGGCCAGGGGAAGCAGAAATAATAACATTCAGTGAAACTACAGAAATAGACAGCTACAACCTGAAGTTAACTGAGAATTACTGAGATCATAGAAAGTAAAGTAGAATAAATCACAAAAAGCTTCTATGTTTTGGCAGAAAAGTATGGAAAGAGAATAAACGTGCTATCACACGATAATTACGTGTACACATTAGTGTACACATTAAATAACGATGGTAAACAAAAAATAGATGGTCGTTGAAGTCTACATGCGTGCTGTTCAGGTAGAGGTTCCATGCTTGTCTAGCGATGCATATGCAGTGACCATCTGGCACATTTTTATGGGTGCAAAGGTGGGACCAGAACTGTCTGTACATACGGATGTAAAGAGTGCCAAGGAATAGGGGCTACTGGGAATGTTGGGCAGGTCTTATGCAGGCACAGAGAAACCGAAGAAAAGGCTCATTGTCCCGGCTACCTGGAGCAGTGAATAATTACGCGCACATGATGAAACGCGCTGCGGGGCTTTGAGAAGAGCAGGGTACCGGGGCGCGGGCGGCAGGACACCGGTCCGCCCGGCGAGCAGCGGAGCCCGCCCGGCGCCGGGGGGCAGCTGCGGGGTGCAGGAGAAGGGCGGGCGGGAGCGTCGGGGCCCGCAGCACGGGGAGACCGAGCCCCACGGCACCCGGGAACGCCGGCCGGGGCGGGAGGCAGCCGGCAACGAGTGCCCCCCAGCCCTGGGCGCTCTGGGCACCCTGGCATCGGGGCGGGCCAGCGTGGCTCTCGGGGGCCCGCCACTGGCCAGGAAACTTTCTCACCCGCGGCCCCCGCCACCTCCCCCGGCTCGGGGCGGCAGGTTCCCGGCCCGCCCAGCCCCGCTGCCCTCGCTCCCCGCGCCGCCCCCTCCCCTCACCTGGGCGAGAACGGTGCCGGCAGCGTGGCGGGGTTGCGCTCCATCGCTGCGGCGGAGCGGGAGCAGCTGTCGACGGTGACAGCTCCGCGCTAGGTGAGCGCCGCCGCCACTGAGCAGGCGCGGAAGAGGGCGGCCCCCGCGATGATGTGGCCCGTGATGCGCAGAGCCTCCGCCGCCGCCGCCACCAGCCGCTCCGAGCCGCCGCTGGGCGGCGGAGGGAGGAGCCGAGCGCCGCCGCCCCGCGTCGCCCGTGGGATGGGACAGGACGGGATGGGATGGGAAGGGATGGGTTGGGATGGGATGGGATGGGATGGGATGGGATGGGATGGGATGGGATGGGATGGGATGGGATGGGATGGGGCGCCGTGGCCGTGGTCGCTCCCAGCCTGGCCCCCGGGGCGAATCCCCGCTGCCTGACGCCCGCTGCCCGCGCTGCGAGCCCGCCTGCGTCCCCTTGTCACTGCGTCCTGCCGGCCTCTCGGCTGTAGCGGGGGACGAAGCTGCACCCTCGCCTCTCTGCCCCCGCAAGGGCCCGGCTGGTGCCCCGCAGCCAGGAAAACAAAGCGCTGGGGAGTGGGGCGCCAGACCGCTCCCCGGGCAGCGGCGGCGGCGGCAGTGCCTTTGCTTCCACTCGCAGAAGCTTTCTTGGCCGTAGCATAGGAGTCGCCGTTTTGTACTGACTCCTGACTGCCAGTTACCAGGACATTGTCGCTCTTTCCTGCCAGTTGACAAAAAGCAGCTTCCCCAAGAATCCAATTTTGTAAAGTGTTTGGGTCAGTTGGAATATCCTTGTTCTTGCCCAACTGGACTGTACACCTTGCAAACAGCATGTAAGTCTACAAGTTCCTCCCTTGACATCAGCTGCCTCTATTTAACTAAGTATGAAGCCAAGGCCTTGCTGGACTCCTGTTTTGCAAAACACTTAATATTAACACTTTACATTAATGCATTGAAACGGTCAAGCCAGCTAAATTTGTGCATTTATTATCAGTACTAGTATTATTCCTCAATTGTTGCTCAACACTTTGAAGTGGTGAGGATGCCTTAACTGGAAGGTGAAAGGGAAGAAAGAGGATGAAAAGAGAAGATTTAATGATGGTGACAACAGCCAAGCCCACAGCATCTCTTTTCCTGTCTACAGAGAGGAAAAAAAGCACTAGCAAGTCACCAAGTGTCTTCCATAAACTGGAGCTAGTTGTGATGGTAAAATGTATTTGCAGGACTGGGGCCAAAACATTCTGCACTATGAGAGTGAAACATACAGGATCACCTTGAACATTCACATCAATACCACCTTAAATGGATGAAGCAGCCCAAACTTCAGAACTAATAATTCAGCTGTCTCAAGCCTGTATTTATGGGGGATTTGGGCTGCAGATACTGTAGCTTCCCTACCCTAGTACCAAATCTATACATCCATGGCCTGTGTGAGCTCAGGTGTTACACAGCTTGGATACTTAGCTGGGCTACCCTACAAATCAGATAAAGATCACATCTGCCTATGTTGCCAACAAGTGAGACTGCAAACCTGAGGTTTGGCAATAGCACCTGAGGGTGCTGTTTCTGGTTTTTCTAATTGCTTGTCTGGTTATCTTGGGCAATCACTTCATCACTCGCTACTACAGGTTCCTTGGCAGCATTATGCCCCGCCCTCCATGGAAATCACATCATACCCATGGATGAAATATATTGTTTGAGGTTCACACATTATTATTTTGGGTTGTGTACAAATTCAGAAAGACTCACTTTTGAGGCCCAGGGCAAAATACTCAGCCCTCTAGATTTTCCAGTTATTAAAGCTAGCAATGGGATTTTTCTGGGAAATAGAAATTCTGGAGTGCAGCTGAGGAAGAAAAGGTGCAGGTAGCAAATTCGGTGGAATGCACCTGGCACTGTGGATTGGGCTGGGGAAGTGGCAGAGGACACTTGTTTGGGACAGTCTGTCAGGAAAACAGCATGGTGGTCTCTTGCTTGAGGCCTTGCAGAAGTTTGCTTCTTATTCATGTTAATTCCAAGATACTGGGATCTGGGTGGTTGTGTGGTTGGGTTTTTTTTCCTTTGTCATTTTCCTCTGTCCTTTGCAATGAGGGCCTATAAACACCACTTACCTGATTACTATTTATTCTCATTTTCATCTTGGACTTCCTATCTTGTTTCTTATGAACCATTCAGTTTTCTTTTTGCAGTTTTCACATTGTCTAGATGTGAAAGGACAGAAACTGCAGAACCGATAAGGACAGATAAGGACAGAGATTGCAGAAGAAATCCTGACTAACAGGCTGTTAGTATCAGTGTCAGCTGAACTTGGTGGTTTTGTAAGTTTCTTTTCCTAAGGATGATTAAAACTCCCTCAGGCTCTGATATTTAATTTTAGGTTCATTTATCAAATTTTGAAAGTGAAAATGGGAGAGTTTTGAGAGACAAGCAGCTACTGGCAGGTGTTCAGGTGATGTTACCTGCTGGTAGATTGGTTCCACAGGCTCTTCATGGTGTTGGGATGGACTTTTTGTCCCAAATCACAGAATCAATCAGTTTGGAAGGGACCACGGTGAATCATCTGGTCCAACCTCCCTGCTTAAGTAGGGTTTGCACAAAATTGTGTCCAAACAGTTCTTGAATATCTCCAGTATGGGAGACTCCACAATATGTCTGGGCAACTGTTCTAGTGTGTGGTCACCTGCACAGTAAAGAAGGTCCTCCTCATGTTCAGGTGGAACTTCCTGTGCATCAGTTTCTACCTCTTGCCTCTTGTCCTGTTGCTTGGTAGCACCAAGAAGAGCCTGGCTCCATCCTCTTGTCATTCTTGCCACTGATGAAATCTCCTCTCAGTCATCTCTTCTCAAAGCTAAACAGGCCTCCAGCTGCCTCAGCCCTTCCTCTTAAAGAGATGATTCAGTTCCTTAATCACGGTTGTTGCCTTCGCTGGACCCGCTCCAGGAGCTCCATATCCGTCTTGTCCTGAGGAGCTCAGAACTGGACACAGCCCTCCAACTGTGCCTCACCAGGGCTAAGCAGAGGAGCAGGACCACCAACCTTGACCTGCTGGCAATGCCCTTCTAAATGCACGCCCCCGTGCCTTTGCCCTTGTTGTGTTTCAGGAGGTTCAGTCCATGTCACGACGATCTCCCAGCGGAGCGCTGCCCCGATGTCGCGCACGGGCGGCAGCGCCGCTGCTCCTCCCGCCCGGCAGGGGGCGACCCGTCGCCGAGCGCGCGGGCCGCTCCACTTCCGTGTGGGCGGGCGCATGGCGGGGCCCGGCGGCGCGGCGGGGCCGGCCGCGGCCCGGGAGCTGCTGGACGTGAGGCCCCGGCCAGGTGAGTCCGGCACCGGCCTGCAGCCAGCGGGGGCTTGGCTCGGCCCGGTAGCCCGAGGGAGGGGCTCGTCGGGCCGCCGGTGACCCACTGGTGATTGCATCCTGCGTGTGTTGAAGAGCTGCTCTCGCGGGGAGGGGTAATGCGGGGAAATCCACGTTAAGCTACGGGAAGTCGTAACGACGTTTTTATGAGAACAAAGAAAAAAGTTAAAAAGACAGAACGCTGCGCTTTAATTAATGATACCGGGCGGATGGCTTCGTTGGTGGTCATAAGGATAATAAGAATAAATAATGCGGAATTCCCTGGCACCCGTTTGGGTTTTCCGGCGCTGCTGCTGCCCACGGTTAACAGAGGTCATTGGCACCCGGATTTAAACCAGTGCGACGGCACGCCTCAGCTCCCATCTCACCGTGCCTTGCAGAGGGGAATTAGAGGTTGTTTTTCTAATTGCTATAACTCTAGCTTAATCAAAATTTGTCTCAAAAACAGCTTAAGGAACTTTAGCTTAAACTCAAGGAATGTATGAAAGGTGACCTGCAGGCTGAGACCCCTGGCCTGTGTAGCCCAGTATTTCTTCCAAGAGCAGAAAAAGCTGATGGCAATTATGGAGAACTTGTAAGCTTAAGCATTTCAATACTCATTTGTTTGTTTGCAGGGCTGGAAGACATTTTGCTGATTAATTCAAAATTAAGCAGCAAGAAGGCCACAACTTTACAGACGGTTAAGGTGCCAAGGAGCAATGGTAAGTACGGAGGAGCTTGTCCCTGGTACTGTGTCAAGTGATAGATAACATTTGTGACACAACTTTTGCTTTGGTGCTTTCCTTGAAAAGGGAGAAGCTTTGGTGTTCAGTTTCTAGAGGTGGTAGATCCTCCTCCCATTACAGTTCCATGTCCCACTGGTGAGTCACATAACTGCTGCAAAACTAGATTTTGCAATGCTGGTGTTACAGCTCTAAAGATTGTTCTTTCCCAGTATATTTTTTAGAAGATTTTGGTTTTGGGGCTCTTTTTTAGAAGTAATTTCTCAGTATATTTGTTGTGTTAAAGCATTTAATTTAAAAAGGGCTCCTGTCAAATTATTTTATGTTTTGTGATTGATCTGAAATTTAAAAAGATTGTTACATCAAATTCTTTGTTCGATAAAAGTCTCTTCAAAAATGACAGTGTTTCAAAGATAGATTATACCTGTTAGATCTTTGTGGAGCTCACCTGAAATAGTACCTCTTCTTAAAGAAAGAAAACTAGTGTTTGGCTCATCTGCATGTGTGGAGCAGTTTATTTGAAGAAATTGTGGAGGTGAAAATATTGTCTTCCTCCAAGGAAGGGTTATGAGTGTGATTCTCCTAATTCCATTGATTACATTAAAATTCTTGTGAAGTCCCACTGGAGCTGTATAGGATAAGTGCTTTATACTTCAACCTGGAGCTTCCATCTCTCTTCCACCATCTTAATTTCAGAGTTTCTTTTGGTAATTATGTTGACCTTTCATTAGTCTATCATGGCATCTGCTGCAGCTAATTGTTCCGTCTTCTTTAAGACCTTCAGTCTATACTTAGTTATTGTAGACAGCTGGAAATTACAGTTGAAATGGAATCTGTTATAAAAGCTCATATCTGAGGTATAAATGTGAAGACTAACGAGCATCTCTTTGACTTTATGTATGATATGTATGTATCTTTTCAGTTTTGGACCGAGTACAGAGCTTTTTACCACAGATGGCCCAGGCAAATGATGAGCTCAAAAGAAAAATGGTAACAGCACCTACTCATCAGTTTGATATTGAACATCTAGACAGTGAAACAGAAGAAGTTATAGAAATGGTAAATATATTTTCCTATTTTAACATCAATCTAGATGGGATTAAAATAACTCTCTGATCTTAGAATGAGTAATATGATAGATAAAGTGAAGTCTTTACCATCATACTTGAGGAATTTAATCACAGGGGATTAAGTAGTTTAAGACTGGAATAAGACATGCTTTTGAATCTACAACTCTGAATCAAAAGTAAAAAATTGTATTTTAAATATCATCTAGGTCATTATGTTTAGAAACTGGACAATATAAAGCCTAGTAAGGCATAACAGAAGGCTTTAGTATAAGAGTAATAACTGGCTTTCAGCTCTGCTTTGTTGGCATTTTTAGGAATGACTAGATCTTGGGTTTAGAAAAGTTGTTAGTGTTGTTGTGATCCTTTGTTGCTGCTATTTGTCTGTTTATTTACAGTCACATAAATATTTTATTTCTGTTTTAACTGAAGTGCTGCAGCCACATGCTTATATAAGAAAACTTTATTTTGAAGGTGATATATGTGCATGACTCAGCCAAATGCCTTCTGGCCAAGGAGACCTCAAAATTATGGCTCTCTATATGGATATAGGAGATCTCTTCAAAAGATATTCTGGTGGCTTAAACTGCTTGTTATTTTAGCGTAGTTGTAGTGCCCTGAATACTACTACGTTATAAGATATAAACTATATTAATATCTATATCTACATGTGTTTGTATTTTTGTAAAGACACCTTATACACTAAATGTTTTAATTTGAATTTTTTACTGAAAAGTAGTTTTGTTGCCTGCTGCTTGTTAGTTTAAATACCTGATTTAGAAAATCTGAGTTCAGCTATTGACTAAGTTCTTTCTTTGATAGTGATATAAATATGGCCTTAGATTTCCTATAGGCCAGTAATATTGATGAATCTCTTCATGATATTTGTAAAACCCTAGGAAAACCCAAAAGTCTTTTTTATGGTGGTTGTGATTTTCTTATGGTAGCAGGCTGTTTAGTGTGTTTACCTTGTTTTATTCCAGTGATAGAAGTGCTGTAGTGTGTGTGTATATATATGTGTATGTATGTAGTATATATAACATGTAAACCAAGATTTTTTTTTTCAGAATGTGGCTGTAGTTGAACTGAGTGATTCTGATACAGATGAGGAGTCGCTGACTTCAGAAGATGACTCAGAATCTGATGAAGATGACTCTGTAACTGATGAAGTGACAGTAGACAACATTAAGTTTCCTAAACAAAAGGGAGAAAAGGGCAAAATAGAAATTTTGGACAGCAAAGCAAATGAGTAAATCCATTTTATTTTACTTTTAAAAACCCCAAACCAACCAAATCATGTTTTTTCACTTCAAAGAGTTGTCCTTTAAACCACTTTGTTTCCCAGTGTAGCATCTCTCAGGATCCCATGAAATGCTATAGTTTACATGGTGGAGAATTCAGGATCCGCTCATGGCTGGGGAAGGCTGGGTTTCTGAAGAATGAAGTGCAGTTTTATTCATCAAATAACAGGGAAATGCACTTCATAGTAGATTACACCAAGAAAGCAGCTAGAGTAAAGGGGCACTTGAAAGTTGAAAATTCTTGTTCTGTCACTTTGTTCTTTGTTGAATAAAGATTTTTTTTATAGGAAGATAGAAGTTTTTGCTTCAGGGACAAGAAAGAGTTAACTAGGAAAAAAGCTTTGTTTTCATATTCTATGTACTGTGAAGTGTTATGTACACTCTCTTCACTATTAAACATGATCTTTAAGTACCCTAGAGGTATGTCTCCATTGCATTAATGGCAGTGACTGCTCAACACTGGAGCCGTGGCTGAGCTCATTTCCAGCTGAGCCAGCCGGGGTAAGGACAGCCATGAGCAGAGAGTTCAGCAAAGGATTACTTAGTACTTACCCTGTGTGCCTGCACTGGGCTCCACACCAGCACAGGGAGCTTAGAGGCTCCTCAGGGAAACCTTTGTAGCTGTGGTGCAAACACCCTCCATACTCAAAGGATCAAGGCTGCCTCTGGGGTGTTAAGATGGCTTTAAGCTACACTTCTCATCCCCCGATTTCCCTGCCATGTTTCCAATCTCCATTTTGTTACTGACAGAAGGATGAAAAGGTGAATTTTCTTTTGGCCTGTACTTAAGTTGGTTTGACACAATTGTGAAACCAGAATCAGTGAAAATGTGTCCCATTTTATTTACCTCAGATTGATCAAATACAATGGTTTGGGCTATTACATTTACTTCATAGATCAGTCTGCATTTCAGAAGAATCTGTCATGCTCCTGGATGTCATTGTTTCTTAAAGGAACATTGTATTTTCTACACCATTAAAGTAAAGTTTTCTATACTGTATTTGCTCAAATATTAAACTTAATGTCATGACTTGAAATCTGCAGTTATCTATAGAATTTATTTTGAATCCTGTACTTAAAGTTCTAGTTTTAATACCTGTTTCTGTAGTATTTGTGGTAAGAAATAACAGAGATTCTAGTCTTTCTTTTACAATGTGGCTTAAATATAAGATGTTTTACTGATTAAACCACGGAATATTTTAGTGAAGGGGAAGGATGGGGATCAAAGAATCAGACTGCTACCTTTAATAGCAGCCCACAGATAAATGAACTTCGGGTGTTTTTGCATTCTAAGAGCAAGGAGTCTTAAAAGGCTTAGTTAAATAAGGTCTCAATCTATAGAAAATTTCTTCCAAACTGAAAAAAGTTTGAAAACCAACATCTGATCTTGGTCATTTAACAAGGCATTTTCCCAGAGATTAAAAAGAACTCAAAAGTGTGAAATACAAAGTAATAATCATACAGTATGAAACAGTGTTTACAGTCCATGTGCAGACACAAAATGTGATTTTAATCCATTAATGTAACCACCTTTCAAACTGCAGGCAGATCACACATTCTGTATCAACAAAAAGGTAGAAAATATTTTCAGTAACTTTAGCTTGATATGCATAGTTTAACACCAATATTGAACTCTGTATGTACTATACAAAGATCATAGTAAGTGCACTTCCTTGCATTGATTTACTTCTTATGGCACAAAGATTTTCTGTACTGCTGAAAAGTCACCAGAGCAGAGCATTTCATTGCTACCATAAAACCTGAACTGGTTTATAGCAAAAATGGCATAATCAGTATATTCTAGTTCAACTTTGGAAGCCTAATGACTAAGGATTTAAAATGATCATGTAAACATTATGTCACAGAAATATGAAGTAGGTGTGCGAGAACTTATTCTTCAGTTCTATTTAAAAAACAGAAACTGAACCATATTCTTGGGGGGGGCTTTGGTGGGGGGAGGATGGGGGGAAATTGTGCTACCAGCTGTTGCTGCTACATAATTTAAATAACTTCAGGGTGACTTCCAAAAGCCATTGTCTGTCAGACTAAAATCTGGACCTAATTTGTAGAAACTTATCCGTGGAATGAGTATTTGTTTTTTTGGTTGTAGCACTGCAGACAGCATATCCTAGGTGTGGTATCAAGCGCTTCATGTGGTAATCAAGATTCAAACTGCTTCCCAAGTGAAGTTGTTACTTTAATATTCTACAGTGATGGCTTTGGTTCTGAGATATTCATGAAGAGCCTCTTCACCTGTACAAGCACAATATTCACCTGTTAGAACAGCAGCTAAATGAATTGTGTCAGACTGTAATTTTTATTATGGAAAAATTTGAAACACTGTAGCCAATATTTGAGTCCTTAAGGAACAGTGAAAACTAATTACCTTCCCACTGTGATTTACAAGCCTGGTTTGACAAGGGGCTAGACCCAACAGATGTGGAAGAAAAAGGAACTGGACTTTACAAGCAGCTCCCCAAGCAGCAGCAGTCTTTAGATGGCCACTGGGGACTCATAGCTGTATTTATGAATTTGGTTCTCCTCTATTAAAGGTCAGAGATAGAGAAGCTGTGTGAAAATCAGTAATCTTTTTTTCCCTGACATCATCACTCATTTTGTTTTCAGGAAATGTCTTTGAAGATTCCAAAAGCAAAAATCTGTTGTGTGAATGAAATTTGATTTTCCTTTTTTTTCTGCCCTGAAGCTTGATCTGTCCAGACTTGCAAAGCTTCTTTGACAGAGTGGACTTCACTTTTCTAGAAAGTTATTTTGAAAAGAGAGTGTTTTTTAATGCATCTTTTTCTGAGTCTGTTGACAAATTTTGGTGACATTTTAAGCTACAAAAAGTTTCCCATGCTCTTACCTAGAGGAGAAACCTAAATTAGCATTCTCTCTGAAGGAACTAATATTTTGGCCAATACCATTGTTACTTGACAGCCTTTTGTAGCCTGTACAGAGCTCTAAAAGCTGTAATTTATTTGTTTGCTCTCAGAGCAGTTGGAGAGGAATATTCTGTGTTATTTAACAAATGTACAGGAAATGATGAATGGGAGGTATTGAAGTGGGAATATTTAGGGAGGGAGAGGAATTGGGATTGTAATTCTTTCATTGATTAGGACTCTTGAGACAATAAATGAGGGAAGGGGACAACTTACCTAAATCTTTCCCAAAGCCAGACAGTTTAAATCCACCAAATGGCGCTGCCACATCAGTTTTGTTGTAAGTGTTAATAAAAACTGTCCCAGCTTCTAGCTTTTCACTGATGTAGAGAGCTTTGTTTATGTCTTTTGTGAAAACTCCTGAAGCTAAGCCATATTCTGTGGCATTTGCCCGTTGCAATACTCCATCGACATCCCTGTGGGGGAAATAAATTATTTAATTGCAACTAGGTAAAATAAACAAGTGTTAGCAGCCTTCTACCTTCAGTGTCATTGAAGCAACTTTTCCCATGGCCTTTCTTCTCCAGCGAGCTTTTTAAAAGATGACTTATTAAGGACAGATCTGTGTGTCAATCTGACAGATCCATGGCAGTTCACACCCTTGTTTCAAGGTCATGAAGCTCGTAACTTCACTTTTCAAAGGTTAGTATCTACACTGAGAAATGCCTTGGGAAATGTTGCTACTGTACAACTTGGGAATTAGAGCAATACAAAAATGCCTGGTAAAGCAGATGATGAATCAGTTTGCTAAAATTGTGTCCAGCTTTACAAGTTAATGCAGAATAAAAGCTGGAATTTAAGCTGCTATCAAGACATAACTTTTCAGACTATTTCCAGAGTGCTATTTTCTATCTGCATCTCATCTCCATACAGCTTCAAAAATCAATAGTAGTTTAAAACTTTAAAAAATTCAATGCAGTTCCTTAAGACTACAGAATTTATGGATGTGAAAGGTTATCTACATGGCCGATTCTTAACTTTATTATCAAACTGCAGAAGATGAAACCTGATGGAAATATTTATGTGAAGTTTCTATGTAGTGTTTTAATCTCATTTGTATGCTAAATAATTCTTATGATCCAGAATTAAAGAGATTAGAAAATACAGTTTACAAAATATATAGAGGAATTTTCATTTGCAACAGTAATGTGCCAGTGTTACACAATACACAACACTGCAGTCTTCTATAACAGGAAAAATAAGTAATTCCACTGGGAAAAATACACATTTTGTAATTTTATCAAGCTGTTGCAATTACCACTCAAACTTCACTAAAACGTTTCACTAAATACTAGGTATTCAGATTGGTCTAACAAGATTTTACAAACTACTGTGTATGCTATTACTTCTTCACTTTGGGTGAAAATACAGTAACCAGACGAGAACATACCCATTTTTAAATTTAGAGATGACCATCACAGGACCAAAGGATTCTTCCTGGGCAATATACATATGGTCTTCAACATCTGTGAATACAGTGGGTTCCATGAAGAAACCTAAAGAGAGGATAGAGCATGGTTTTGAGCATGGTAAAAGTGCTTAAGGGTTTGCTGTTGTCCAGGCCATTTCTGTCCCATGCTTTGAGGTCGTAAATAACTTGCAACTTGAAACAGAAAATAATTACGAATGAAGTATGAATGGAAATGCATGCACTTCAAGAGAAATAGCAGACAAAAGGGTAAAAGAACAGCCTCTACATCAGTGATAACGTGTGCTGTTCCCTGCCAGGCTGGGAGGTCTGCGTGCCACAGCCCAGGTGACTTCTTGGGGGAAGACCCTGTTATCTGACAGCAGGAAGACAAGGTTACAGCAAATCACAGAGGCCACTGTTTTTCTTGCTACCCGACAAGAAGATGGATTGTAAGATCTAAATAAAGATCTCATACTTTATTTGCACAGCTTCTCATAATATGAGATTTGAAAGCTCTGTAGTATCATGGGCTTACCTGGTACTGTTCCCACAATACTGCAACTCCACAAAATACAGCTGAGACAATCGTGACCGCTCTTGTTTAAAGTGTAAAAGTTCTAAATATCTCTGGAAAGCCTTTTACCTGGTCTACGTACTTGTCTTCCTCCATACACTAGAGTGGCTCCTTCTTTTACTCCAGTTTCACAGTATTGCAGCAGCTTTTCCAAATGTGCCTTGTGATTTTGTGGACCATGATCTGTAGATCTGTCAAGTGGGTCGCCAATTTTCATCTTTTTTATTTCTTCAACCTATGGGTTACCCAATTAAAATGAAGTTACATAACACAGCAATATTAAAGTGACCAGAAATTAGGAATGCTGTCTTTGGTGCTAGGAAGATGGAATCTAAGAAAATACTGGATTCCTAGATATAATGCTTTTCCCTTTTTATAATTAGGCTTTGTCTTTTGTTTCATAATCTCTAATAACTTCCTAAAGTTTTTGATGCTTTGTTCATGTGTGTATTATCTTCTGCTATTAAGATAGGCATGTAAAATGTTAACTTTT